GGAGGAGGAGGAGGAGGAGGAGGAGGCGGAGGAGGGAAGGAGGAAAGGAGGAGGAGGAGGAGGAGGAGGAGAAGGAGGAGGCTCTCCTGGCCACGTCGAGCCTCGGCCGCGGTAGGTTCCCGACCTGGATCTGAGGCCTACAGCCGGGACCCCTCCTGAGACAATGGCGATCCTTACACCCCAGCCTAGGGTTCCAGATAATTCTACGCTATGCAAACTCGACTTCGCTTCAGGCGTTGTCTTAAACAGTAGCCCACGTCCAGGTATACGGACATCCCACTGAGAAACTCAGCTCCAAGAAGACGCCCAGAATCCAGTCCAGATTCTTGACTTTCGTCAGCGAACTCTGGACCCCATAGAATCTGATGCTGCGTCATAAAGATTGCTGATGGGTGTAGGGAGCGCCGAGGCAAGAACGAATGAGCTTTCCTGACCGCGTCGAGCCTCGGCCGCAGTAGGTTCCCGACCCAGATCTGAGGCCGAAGGCCAGGGCCCCTCCCGAGACAAAGGTGGTCCCCGTGCCAGGATCTTAGCTGCGTCAGGGATCGGTCGAAACAGTGTGCTTCGTGTGCGTTGTGTTGTCGTGTTCCCTCATGCTGTCTTCAGTCCGACCCAGCTGCAACACAGCATCGAAACGAAAGCGGCCCACAACATCGCCCAAACACCGCTCAGGTCGACCCCTGGGCTGCATGAGGACTGCCCCCAGTGGGAGCGCCAACGAGGCCTGATGAGTCAGAGCGGGCCTCCAAGCTCCTCCATCTCCTCCTCGTCTGTCCTCCCTTCTCGTCCTTGGCGATCTCCATCCACAGCGCCTCCTCCTGTTCGTCCTTGCCCATTGCCTCCCTCTGCCGCCTCTTCCTCTCGGCGAGCTCGTGCTTCACGGCATCGACATCCGCATCACCTCGGCAGCCCGCTTCGCGCCCTCCCTACCCTTCATTATCCCCCTCGTCGTCCTCCTCCCCCCTCCCCCAGGAGAAACCCAAATATACGCCTGTATCTGGGGCGCACCCGGAACAAACCCGTACCAAAGTGGCCAAGGACGGTGGATCTGTGGAGTAGCTTGAAAGTGGGGGCGAAGATGAAACGACACTCACCCGCTCATCCTCCTCCTCCTCATCCTCCTCCTCATCAGCAGCATCAGCAGCATCAGCATCATCATCATCATCATCAGCAGCATCATCAGCATCATCATCATCATCATCATCATCACCACCACCACCACCACCACCAGCACCACCACCACCACCACCACCATCATCATCATCATCATCATCATCATCATCATCATCATCATCATCATCCATCATCATCATCATCGTCGTCGTCGTCGTCATCATCATAGTCGTCGTCGTCATCATCAGCATCATCAGCAGCAGCAGCGGCATCAGCAGCATCATCGTCAGCAGCATCACCATCAGCAGCAGCATCATCACTAGAATCAGCATCATCATCTGCATCAACATCATCATCACTAGCATCACCATCATCGTCGCCATCATCACCACCAGCATCTCCATCATCATCAGCATCATCATCAGCATCGTCGTCATCATCATCATCACCATCACCACCGTCGTCAGCATCATCATCATCATCATCATCATCATCATCATCATCATCATCATCAGCATCGTCATCATCATCATCATCATCATCAGCAGCATTATCATCCATCGTCATAATCGTCGTCCTCATCCTTGTTTCCCACTCCTCCTCTGCGGGCCTTCCGCCGCAGCTGGACCGAGGTATTGGAGCAAGGCCCTCCTCCTCCGTGCCTCCGTCCTCCTGGGGGCCTCCCCTCTCCGCCTCCTCCTCCTCCTCGGCATCTCTATCATCGTCATCGTCCCGCCTCCTTCGCCTGCGCCTCCTGCTCGCGCTTTCCCCTCGTGTCCGGTCATCCTCCTCGTCTCCTCCTCCTCCTCCGTGCCTGCCTGCCGGTCCGCCGGTCCTCCGCCTGCGCTCCCTCCCCCCTCCTCCTTCCCCGGGCCTGCATCAGAGGTCCTCCTGTCCTCGGGTTCCTCCTCCTTCCTCCTCCTCCTCCCCTGCCCCCTCCTCCTCCTCCTCCTCCTCCTCCGCCTCAGACTCCCTGCCTCATTCCTCATCCACTCGTCGCTCCCCTCCTCCTCCTCCTCCTCCTCCTCCTCCTCCCCCTCCATGTTTTCCAGACTTCCGACGGATTGCTTTGCTTTCTCCATCTACGGGTCCCAGCAGCTTCGACCACTTCTTCCCTGGCGCAACGTATCTCGTCCAGGGAAATGGGTTGATAATCCCCGGGGCCGAATACGACATCCAGAAGGGTGGGTGGGCGAAACAAGCATCTCGCCCGACGTCCAAGTCGACCTCCCCCCCGTCCTCCCCCGAGGGAGGTGGAGAGCGAGGAGGAGAGGGAGGAGGGGAGGGAGGAGGAGGAGGAGGAGGAGGAGGAGGAGGAGGAGGAGGAGGAGGAGGAGGAGGAGGAGGAGGAGGAGGAGGAGGAGGATTTTTTGTTGCCCGAGGGGCTCCAGCCGCGTCTGGCCAGCAGTTCAGGCCAGTGAGAAAGGAGAAGCAGTGGCGGCGACGGCTGCCTCTCCTCGCAGCGCCAGCTGCAGGGGGTGAGCGGTGGGGTTCGCACGAACTTGCTAGACCACTGTCGGGGCGGCGCCCCCGTGGCCTAGTCTGACCCGTCCGTGCTCTCTCCTCTGCTCCCCGCCGCCTCTGGCGGCGAAAAACCTCCTGCAGCTCGGAGAAGGCACTGCGCTTTCTCCTGAAAAGTGGCAGTTCGAGACGGAACAGGCTCGAGCGGCGCCACGTCTATCCCTAGTGCCTGGGCATCCTCAGCACGAACCTGGACAGACCCCGACACGGAAGCGGGTAGCCCAGGCACTAGGGCAGGGGCTGCACGGCTCGCAACTTGCGGGGCAGCCCTGTGGTGGTGAGGCGGTGTTCGCCCACTCTGCCTAAGGGCGCCAGGCAGGCTGGCCTCCCTATTGGCAGGAGAAACTAAAAGAGAGGCGAGCGGAGCTTCGTCTTCCTGTCGTTCCAGAGCGTCCTTCTCCAGACGGCTCAAGGCCAACGCCACAACCTGAGGCTGCTCTGGGACGACCGAAGGGGCTACACAGCTCGCGTCAGCGCTGGAGGCAGCGGGAGTTGCGCTGACGGCAGCGCCCTCTCCCAACCCTAGGCTGCCGAGGTGTGAGGTGGCTCGAGTCGGCTCGAGCTTTACATCTTGCGCGGCAGTACGCAAAGGAGGCGGTGTTCGCCCCTTGAACAGTGATACGCCAGGTTGGCAGGTCTCGTGCAAAGGGCCAGACAGCACTTGGCGAATTAAAAGCGGGGCTTCGTCCTCCTGGCGATCCAGAGCATCCTTCCCTCGAGAAACAAACGAACGCCCGAACCCGTCGGGATGTTCTGGCACGGCAGGTGGGTCGTCGCGGCCTGTGGGGCCGCGGCTGGCTGCGTTAAAGTCGTCTGCCTGCTGCACTGCTGAGGATGGGCTACGCTGACCTTCGTCAACGCCCCCCGAAGCTGCGGCAACGGTGAGCGGGTGCAGGGGTCATTCTCCAGGACAGTCGTCCTCGGGAGTCTCAATAAAAACTTTGATCCCGTTCTTGCTGTGCTGCGGGTGGATCCCTCGGAGGACGCGATTCCACTTCCACTGCTGTCGGCTGCCACGGAAACCTTTGCACCGACACCGGCACAGGTTGGACTTCTGTGGAGCGCCAGTGGAAACGAATGACGCGCACTGCAAACAGATGAAAAGGTGTGCTCCGTCAGAACACGAGAAACAAACAATGCTGTGGCGTTGACTCGCCACCCGTTCTAAGTCCAGGCCGAGTATGATCCCCAGGCATCTTTTGGGCGGGGGCCTGGGCGCGCTCACGAGGGAGGTCGAAAAGTCTGACCGCCTCGAGGCGCGGCAACACTTCACGCATCGCCAGAGCCCAGCGATCCACGAAAAGTTGCACTCCTCTGGCGCGACTCTGCCCACGGCGTCCTTTGAAATCGGTCTGTGCTCCACCTCGCCATCTGCCTTAAGTGACGGGAAAAGCAGTAAAACCTTCATGGCAAGGCGGCAGAAAGCAGAGACAAAATGGACCTGCTCATCGACCGTGGCCAAGGCCTCGTCGTCGCGCCCATGTAGTGCAAGGGCGGCCTTCGCTCCTCGGTCGGAGAAGTCGTCGCCAACCCTTATGAAACGTTCATGGTCAGTGAGGCTGTCATCGTTGAGAGACTGATGCGCCTTGACCTTATAAAGTTCAGATATAAGGCTGGCTCCTTCGTGGCGATGCGCCTGGAGCGTGTGGCCTGCGTAAACTTTGCGGTAGTTGGCGCGGTCCGCGTGACTTGACTTAAACTGAGAAATAACATTCTGGCAATCTGAGAAAACCTCTGAAGGACCCACGATGCACATCGTGGCCGCAGTAAGTGCGCAAAATTCGGCACACTGTGGAGTCTGCGGCAGAGGCGCGTGCACTGGGCCTCTGATCTCGCACTGAAGCTGGCCGTCTTTGAAACCAGAAAGGGCACAGGCAGCTCGACTTAATTCTTTAGTAATGTCGCGGCTGCACGACCCATCCACAAAGATCTGCCCCTGGATTTGGGTCCTGTCCGAGGGGGGTTCGACGAACCAATCGGCCTCCAGGGGCCCAGACGCACACGGGGGGGGGGGGGTAATCATCTCCCGGGCGCGGCAGCCCCCCATCTAGTGACGGCAAAACAACAAATGCTTGTGATCGACGAAACTGTCGATGCTGTCCAAGGTATTGCGCTCTACCGTGTCCTCTCTGGTTCCCTGAACAGCGGGGCATTCCCAGATGCGATGAAAAAGCGCGTCTCGTTGACCGCATCCCAACGGACGGGGCACATGGCGGCCCCACGCAACGATCAAGGCTGATCCGCGGGGGCTTCTGGAAAGCCATGACACGGAGGCGGGCGGCGCACGGGGACAGCTTGAGTAGAGGGGGAGTGTGAGGAGCGAGGCCCGACACCCGATCCAGATCGATGGACCGCACGGCTTTGCTAAGGCCGTGGCTAAGGATAAAATAATCGTTGATTCTCACACCCCCAGTAGTTGGGCAGGTAGGAGAGGGGGGGGGAATCAACGTACCACGGGGAACTTCGAGGAAGTCGGAGGTGGAGAACGTAGGTGGCTCGAGGTTGAAATCCCCACCGACAAGCCAAGGCAAACCTGAAGCCCCCACATACTCACCAATACTGCGTAACACGGAGATGTGGGGCTCAGCGAGGCCCACACCGTGCAGGAGGCAAGTGGAGACGATGGCGATGTGGCACCCTCCAGGAACCTGGATGACGCCCCCTATGGCTCTGCCGTCAAAAAGCGTCTGGTTGCTGCCCAACGCGTGGAGCCCCAGGAAGTCCCTGACCAGGATGCTGACGCCGCCTCGGCTGCTTCCGTTGTCCCCAGGGAGGGCTGCCGTCCAGAGTGATTTCCGCCCGTGGCGAATGGCCCAAGCAGAGGCCTGCGCTATATCCTCTCGGGACCTCAAATGGTGCTCATGGAGGCAAACAACATTGGCTGGCGTCTGGGTGGGCCACGTACGGCCTGAACCCCAGCCTGAAACATTGGCCGACGCAAAAACGATGGAAAAATCAGAATCTTCTGAGGCCCCTGGAAAGGTGGATTGAGCTAAGCTAACCCCACGCACACGCAGGGCTTCAAAGGCTTCTGTACAGGGCTCAGCCAAAATGCTTTGAGCTCTGCCGAGGGTCCTGGCCAACGCTCCCCAGAACCCCTTAGGAGGAGATCCCTGGGCCCTCTGGGGCCCCTTTGGAAGGTTAAAGGCTTGACCCCTCGTCAGGGACTGGTCTGGCAATGGCTGCAGCCCTTGACTTGACGCCAACTCCGCTGCCCCCTTGGGCCATGCCCGCGGGTGCACCAGGCGGCGGAGGATGAGGCGACTCTTTTGCCTCTCCAGGAGCTCCAGGGGCAGCAGGGCCTGCGGGCTCTGGGGGTGGCCCCCCTCGTGGCTCGGTTGGGGTGGCGGTGCCTCCAGTTCCTGCCGAGGCTCCTGACTCGGTGCGACGCTTCTTGACGGCAAGACGGGTGAGCAAATCCTTGTGCTCGGATGTGATGGCGTCGGCCTTTTCGATAGCGGCGGAGAAAAGGGCGCGGGTCTGCTCACGCAGACCTTGCTTGAGGGACATGACCAGCTCCTCGGCCGGGCGCTTGTCCTCTTCCGAGATGCCGTCGAGGTCGGAGCCCTCCAGCTGGAGCACATCTCCCAACTCGATGGGTCGGTCCTCCAGCGAGCCGTCGAGGATGCTGCGGGCCGTGAGTGCCTGTGGCGCCTGCTCGACGGCGGCCTTGGGCGCGTAGGCTGAGTGCAACTGACGAACGAGGGCTCCGTGACGTTCTTCAGCTTCTTGCAACTCAGCGCCGAGACGTTTGACCTCCAGCCTTTGTGTGTCGAGCTGGGCCTGCATCTGGTCGAAGTGGTCCACAGCCCGTCCCACTCGACCCTCCGCGGCACGAAGCTTGTGGAACTCCTTCGTGATGCGCTGCTGGATGGGCGTCTCCTTGGCTGGGGCGCGGCGCTGGTCCAGGACGGCCTGGTATCGTGAGGCACCCACCTTGTCGCCGATCTTGCCAAGGGTGCGGACCAGGGCTTCGAGCTCGACCGTGTCCAGCTCGTCGTGCTGAGTATCACCACGTTGATTGCCATTGCCAGCAGCAGCAGGAGGGGGCGTAGATGCCGAAATCTGCCATCGGCCTGGGGGTGAGCCTCCCGCCCACACTCCCATGGGCGGCTGAGACTTGTCGAAAGCTGGCGCGTGCCTGGTTGAGCCACACTGCTTGCAGACGTTGAAGCGCGGGTCGTTGCGCTTGCAAGGACAGTACGCACATGCCCACGAGCCTGGGGGAGGATGGGCCTTCGGCTGCTTCTTCTGACGGGTATCAGCCGCTCTCTGCACACCTGGAAACTTCGGGCCCAGCTGGAAGAACGGATTGCTCGTGACGATGGGGAGTTGGGCGAATGGTCCTGCACCTCTAAGACCAGGTCCCGAACCCCCTCCCTGCTGTTGCGCCGCATACATGGCGGCACCTGCGGGGAAGCTGTAATTGTGAATGAAGGCTGGGCGGAGTCGCGAACTCCTGGCCAGTAAGACTCTAAGGGGATCAAAGAACCACACGCCTCAATCTCTCGAGCGAGGTTGGAAGTTCAGGAGAAAGGCCCCTTGAGCCAAAATGGCTACGGAGGAGGAGGAGGAGGAGGAGGGAGGAAGAGGGTGGAGGAGAAGGGAGGAGGCGAGGGAGGGACGAGGAGAAGGGAGGAGGCGAGGGAGAGGAGATGGAGGGAAGAGGAGGGACGGAGGAGGAGGAGGAGGAGGGGAGGGAGGGAGGACGAGAGAGGGATAAGGAGGAGGAGGAGGGGAGCAGGAGGAGGAGGAGGAGGAGGAGGAGGAGGAGGAGGAGGGGAGGAGGAGGGAGGAGGGAGGGGGGAGGAGGGAGGAGGGAGGAGGGAAGGAAGGGAGGGATGATGATGATGATGATGATGATGATGATGATGATGATGATGATGAGGAGGAGGAGGAGGAGGAGGAGGAGGAGGAGGAGGGAAGAGGAGGGAGGAGGAGCCTCCTTTGGAAGTGAGCTCCCAGTGGAAGCGAGTCCTGGCCCCCTCGGAGCTCTTCCCAGGACAACCAATCTTGCATCCACAGCCCTTCGGCTACACGCAAGTGGCCCCTGGGCAAGAATGACCTCTGGCTCGAGTAGGGGGTCGACTACAGAATTGATTTACCCCAAAACTATTGTTCTCGCTGGATATACAAACAAGCTACGTTGAATGTCCGTCAATCTACGAAAACTCCACGCATGTGCCATGTACTCGGGGCAAAAACCATTAAGGGGTAAACCAATTCTGTAAGCGATTCCCTACTCAGTTGGTGCGCGCTTGAAAGGGGGCGCGGGGTGGCCAAACCCGGGCGCGCGAGCCGCTGCTACCGCGTCGCGCTCAGCCATCGGGGGGCCGCACTGGGCCCGCACCCAAGGTAACTCCAGCGAAAGGCCACTCTTACGTCTCGTCGGAATCCTTTTCTTGACGGTCCCGGGCCTAGCCCTGGGGAGGGCCGGGAAGGCAGGAGGAGGAGGAGGAGGATTAGCAGGAGGAGGAGAAGGAGGATGAAGAGGAGGAGGACCCAGAAGCTCGAACGTGATGAGAAGCTGCAGGACACCTCTCCTCCAGGACGCCCTGCCTTCATAGCCCCTCTCCCCCGACGTCGCAGGTTCTCCGTGGCGTGGGCCCTGGGTGATATCCACCCCCTCCCCAGGACAAACCCCCGTCCTGAGAGGTCTACTGATCCAGACCCCCATCGCGCCGTGTGGAACTCACGATGGATGTTGTGCACCCCATATTTTGTTCGGCCTCGTTGGGCCATCGCCGGGCCTCGGGACGCTATAAGAAAAACTAACTCATGACGCCAGGGGTCTGGGGCCGGCCCCCGGCCCCGGAAAGGCGGCCCCTGGATGCCGGAAAGGCGGCCCCCCGGAAAGGCGGCCCTTGACTGCGACGCACGGCTCTGGAAGGCGATACCCCCGCCCCACGTCTCACGCCGACCCCCAGACCAGACAGACCCCCGACGTAGTTGCTCTTGCGGTTTACGATGCGGGCCCGCAGAGGATCTGAGGAGCGATCCTCCCTGCCTCCGTTGCACGCCGACACCCGACAGACAGACCCCCGACGTCGTCACTCTTCTGCAGCTCGTGATGTGGGCCCGCAAAGGTTCGGGTGCTGCTGCAAGTGCCCCTGTTCCAAGGAGCCCCAGGAGTCTCGGGGTGTCCCAGGCGGCCGCCCGAGAGCACCCCTCACGCGGCCCAGAGGGCCCCAGGGGCTCCAAACTGGAGCGAAACGCTGGGGGCACCTTGGGCCAGCGGCACCTCTAGCAGCACCCGAAAGGTCGGGACTCGATCCCGTGTTGTCGACGGCCGTGAGGCTTGGCGGCAGGCCTCCAGAAGCTGAAAGCAGCGAGAAACCTCCTGTGGCGAGTTGCTTTGCGACGCGAGGGGGGTCTTCTGGGAGGGGTATTCCGCCCTCCCACCCCCCTCGGCGGCGAGCCCGGGGCCCGGGGGGGAAGTGAGAGGGGGCGTGCCTTCTCAGAAGGCTCCGAAGTCCCCCGGCCTTCTGAGAAGTCTTCTGGGCCTTCCCCGAAGACGCAGGACAGTTCTCAGAAGGCGCGAGGGCTTCTGAGAGGTCCCGCCGCCTTCTGGGAGGGCCTTGTCCTTCTAACTTCCCCCCCCGCTCGCCACCGACCCTCGTCTTCCCCCGACCTCCAAGCTTAGGGAAGCAAAAGAGCGCCCCCACCCCAACCTGGACTCCTTCCCAATGGGGGGCGGGCCAGGTGGGGGTGGGCTACATTTTTGCATGCCCCTTTTCACGGAGCTTCCTCACAATCGGGTCTCGAAGCTCCCTGCCCCAGCCTCAGAGAGAGGGGTGCCAGGTGGGGGTGGAGGTGCGCTTCCTTACAAGAGCGGTACCCATGCACCGCACCACGTTCGGACTCCCTCCGGGCCTCGCTCCAACGCGGTACGGTGCATAGTTTTTCGGCTCGGAGGGCCCCGAAGCTATGCACCCTACCACTGCTGGGCCGAAGATCCACGACGCCTCGGGAGACGCCAGCGCGGCATGGTGCATGCAGGTCGCGCGCGGAATTCTGCCCCCGGAGCTGTTGGAGGCCTCCCAGAGGGGGTCGGAGCAGATGGGGTCGGAGGATCGCGCCGCATCGAGGATGCATCGGCGACGCATCGTCGATGCATCGGCGATGCACCGGCGATGCATCGCCGACGTCGGCGATGCATCGGCGACGTCGACGTGGAAAAAAAACGGGCCCCACATCGAGCCGCATCGACAGTGCATCGGCGCATCGAGGCGGCCCTCCGACCCCATCTGCTCGGACACCGTCTAGGAGGCCTAGAGCTGTGGCTCCTCCTCCTCCCCCTCCTCCTCCTCCTCCCCCTCCTCCTCCTCCTCCTCCTCCTCCTCCTCCTCCTCCTTCCTCCTCTCCTCCTCCTCCTCCTCCTCCTCCTCCCCCATCTCCCCCATCTCCTCCTCCTCCTCCTCCTCCTCCTCCTAGGCCTGGAGCTGTGGCGCCCGCGCCCGCCTGCGGACCCGCCTGCGGACTCATTCCTGCCGAGCGGACTCCCCTCGTTGCTGAGCAGGGCGGCGTCCTGCGCGGCGACGAGCCCGCAGCGAGGCCCGCCGCCAACCGACCCCCCCCCCCGGGGCCCGCCGCTCGGCGGCGGGCGGGCCCCTGCCCACACGGTGGGCCCAGGCAGCCTTCCAAATCTCACCGCTGCCTCCTCGGGGGCCTGGTCTGTCCCATCGAGGGCCTATCCGTGTCGAACCCGTGTCGAGTCCACGTCGGGCTCGTCGGATCCGTGTCGAATGCGTGTCGACTCCGCGTCGAGACCACACCACATCCGCGTCGAGTCCGCATCGAGCCCGCGTCGGGCACAAGAAAAGGTATCCATTATGAGGACAGGCGAGGTCCCTCGAATATGCAACGTAGCAGATCGCCGACGACAGTACTTTTTCAGCCCAGGCGCTTTGCCACGATTTCGGTTGGGCGCGAATTGCTGGGGGAGCCAGAAGTGTGGGGTGAGGAAGGAAGGTGCCCCGTTCAGGCCCTGAGGATCCCCAAAGGGCCCCCCCAGGGGCCCTAGAGGGCCTCGTTTCGGCAGCTCTCGCTGCCCCCCCGATTTATCGTCCCCCCATTACGCGTCCTCCGATTCGGCGTCCGGTGCTCGTTTACGGGCCCCTGGACCATGACAAACTGATCTGGCCCCGAAAAACTTCCCCTGGGGAAAGGGTCGGGACCTCTGGGGCCGCGCATTGGCCAACAAAGAGTCGTCGGATGTCTGCGCCTGGATGCAGCAGACGGTATCGTCATCTCTGGGCGGGTCGACTCTGCTTCCGCCGGCGGAGCCGCCCAGGTTTTGCTGGCTTCCGCCGGCCTTTCGCTGCCTTCGGCTGGGAACGAGATGCCAACTGAGGAGGAGGAGGAGGAGGAGGAGGAGGAGGAGGAGGAGGAGGAGGAGGAGGAGGAGGAGGAGGGGGGGGCCCTTTCTGGGACGCGCCACTCGTTTGGATGAGGCTTTCGATGTGCGGAGAGGGCCCACAGAGGATCGAGGCGTTTGGAGCATCGAGGGTCAAGGAGGAATCAGGCGGATAAAAAACAATGAAGGGGCCCTGGGACACACAAATAGATAGACACAAGTAACAGGATTCCCCATATGTTCAACTATTTCCGAGGTTTTTGTCTTCCCCCCCCACTGCCCATATTTTCCAATATTTTCTGGGGAATCGAAGATAAATTGTGTCTGTGTTTTTCCCCTCCTGAAACAAAGAGGATCGAAGCTCGAGGAGGAGGACTCGGCACGAATCGCCAAGAGCACCAACCGTGGTCGACTGGGGCGTGCGCTGGGCACAATTGCAACAGTGTCGCTGGTCGACGATGCGTGACAATCGTTGCACGACTCAAGAAAATCTTCTTCCTCCTCCTCCTCCTCCTCATCCTCATCATCATCATCAACATCATCATCCGCTTTCCAAGAGGAAGAGCGCTAGTATCATGAGGCGCAGCAGGTGCCGATCCGTCTATTTGCTAAGCGATGAAGTCCTCAGGGGGGGGCGCTGGGCGCTATCGTTCAGCACCCCGGCAAAGGAATGTATGGAACAATTCCGCAGGGGCGGGGGCGGTGGAAGCAGGAAGAGCAGCAAAGGAATCCTCATTGCGTTTTCATCGAAGTATAATCCTATTTGGATTAGCATCGCCACCACGCTGACCTGGACCTGGAGAGAGAAAGAGAGAGAGAGAGAGGGAAAGAGAGAAAGAGAGAGAGAGAGAAAAAAAAAAGATGGAGAGAATCCGAGTGAGGTCCTATGGGGGGTCCGATGGAGATCATCTGACGGGGGAGTGGGCTCTTATGGGAGTCCCATGGTGGATACCTACTTGGGTCCGATCTGATTGGGATCCTCTTTGAACCTAATGAAATCGAATTGAAATCTTACTGGGTTCATGCTGTAATCCTCTTGGGCTCCCATTGGAATCCGATTGGGCTCTTCTTGGGATCCTACTCGGATCTTGGTGGGATCCTTCAGTGGGGGGTCCAGCGGCGGGATATCATTTACTTCCAGGGGGCGAGAAGCGATGTACGGCAGGACGTAGGACAGAAGAACATCCTTCAAGGACACGGGACCCTCCGCTGGACAAACCGAAGAACATTCGAGGGTACCCTCCCCCCAGAATGCACGGGAGCATCCAACAAGCACGAAGAACCTTGGGGCGCCCTCCCCGAACCGACCTCGATCTGAAGCCTCGGTCCGACCGCAGTGTCGCCGAGAGGGAGGAGGATGAGGACGAGGAGGAGGAGAACCCCTACATCTGGTCATCGCAAGGGGTGTGGCGGCAGAGCTCTTAACTTTTGTCGACCTCAGGTTAGTGGGACCTTCGACCGTCGGGTTCCAGCGAAGGCCAGCCCTGCGGCCGGGAGGCGGCCTCTGGAGGCCGAGGCGCGGAGGGAAATCAGGAGACAAGTCCTGGGAGGTCTTCGTCGGAAGGATTACAGAGAATTGCAGCCCAACGCCAGATTCGGACGTGGATTGGCTGGGATTGAACGAGACTCAGCCGAACTGCGCCAGATGAAGCGGGATCCAGCCGGATTAACCCGGATTTCAGACCAGGGCAAAGTCTGAATTTGACCTCCCAGGAATTGCATCCGAAAGAACAGCCGCGCTGGCGCGAAGAGGAGGAGGAGGAGAACAAGGAGGAGGGCGAAGAACCATACATCCGACGATCCGATATTTTCAATGCGTGGCCCAAGGTCCTGGCCGCTTCCCCGGGACAAGTCTTCCGCCCCAAGCTTCTGCTGGACGACACGGGCCCCAAGGGCCGAAACCGAGAAAGAAGCGCATGTAATGAAAATGAAGATAGTGATGACGACGATAACGATGTCGATGTCAATGTCAATGATAGTAATGATGGTAATGATGATGATGACGATGATGATGATGATGATGCTGATGAGGATGATGGTGATGATGATGATCGTGGTGATGAAGACGGTGTAAGTGGTGATGATGCTGATCATGATGACGCTGATGGTGTTGAAGGTGGTAATGATAATGATGGTGAAGGTGAAGATGCGGATGACGGTGATCATGGTAATGCGCGTGATGACGATGGTGGTGATGATGGTGATAGTGATAGTGATAACGATGCTGCTAAGCATGATGGTGCGAATGATGCGGATGATGATGATCAGGCCGATGGTGATGACAATGGTGATGGTGATAGTGGTGATGGTATTGTTGATGATTACGACGACCATGATGATGATCATGATGATGACAAAGCAATGGAAGAGCATGCACATGATGAGAATGACGATGATGGTGATGATGGTGGTGAAAATGGTGGTGATGAGGATGTTGATGACAATGACTGTGAAGATGACGATGATGATGGGATGATGGCGATTAGTGCGATGCGAATGAGAATGACGAATATGACGGTGATGATGATGCTTGTGACGAGGATGCTGATGATGAGGAGGTCAAGGAGAGGATAAGGATGGCAAGGACGATGATGATGATGATGACGTTGGCGATGCAATGCTGATGATGCTGGTGATGAATATGAGAATGAGGCTGGGGATGAAGATGAGGAGGAGGAGAGGATGACGAGGATCATATCAGATCAGAAGACCTGGGGGGTGAGCAGATGTCCCATCCAGCAGTAGCCCCTAGGATCGGGCTGCACCCGAGCGTCAGCTTGCGTTGCGTGGCCGTGCACCTCGCAGCTCACAGCAAGGATAAGCCCTGTTGCCGCCGCGGTGCCCCCAGAAGCAAGCGCAGAGCAGCTGACACGTCAGAGCTGCTCCACCGTGCAGAAAGCCCATGCGTGAAGATGGTGCCACGCCTTATCGCTGCTGGAATAGTGGGCTCCTCGGGACCAGGATTTTTAGCCAGGCTCGCCGAAGCAGCAGATATCTTCGCGCGCTTACCGCTCCCCAGATCCACACTCGAGGGGCGGCGGACGCTGGGCGCTCCACCCGTCACCTGGCCCTCGGTGCCACACGTGAGCGGCAGCTCTCGGGCATTCGGGGGGAGAGAGGTCGAGGTCGAGTGAGAAGACACCAAGGAGGACGGGGGCTCGGGGGAGGGAGGATCGACGGGGGGAGAAAAAAGCGTGCTGGCGGCTTGGCTCAGGCGTCTCACGAGCTGCGCAACACGTCGCTCCATCTCCCCCGGCGTTTCTGGACTCCTCATGTCCGATTCCACGCGGGGGCGGTGTCTGTCAGAGACCTCATTTACTCGTGCATCACATTCCCGAACTCGCGCAGCCCTGTGCGCAGCAGCCGCTCTAGATGCCAAATGGGGGCGGCGCCCTGCCTGAAGTCCGCGCCCGCCTGCACCAGCGCCGCGAGCACCGTGGAGAAGTTGAGGCGCGTCGTGAAGCCCAGCGCCAGCTTGACATCGCTCTCCTCGCGCGCGTCCGATCTTGGCGAGCGGGGCGGCTTGCCCCATTTCCACCAGGCTGGAACCGTTCTGCTGTTTGCTCAACTCCTCCAACTGCTGCTGGCTGGGCCCCCCAGCGCACTGCCCTCGGCGATCAGGCCCTCGAACACCCCCGCGTAGCGCGCGACCGATATCGCGCCCATCTCCTTGAACTCTTCTCGGCGTCGGCCTTGGACGAGGACGCCCTCGCTTCCTCCGCTGCCCTGACCCACGCTCTGACGCGAGCCATCGCCTTCACCGCCGCCTGCATCCCCGAGGACATCCGGAGCGTCTTCAGCTCGATGGACTCGATCTGCCTCCGTCTCATTGCTAGGTTGAGAATGAGTCGCGCCATGACTGGGAATGACCGCTGCATCTGCTTGGCATCGGACGTCTCGCCGTCGAGCTCGCTGAGGTCCACTATGCTCGAGTCCGCCCCCCTGCCCTTCTCCTGGCGGCCGCCGCTGCCGTTCGCCCCCAGTGCCGAAGAGCCTCGCGGGCCCCTGCCGCCCCCCCCCCTGCGGCGGGGCCTCTGGACGGGCGCGGTGTCCTCGACTGCCGCGGGAAGGGCCTGCAGCCACGACATTCGGAGTAGGCTGGGGCAGGTGCGTCGACGACATGTGCCGTTGTAGATCTGGCAGAGATCCAAACTCGAGTGCGCACACAGCTTCTGGGCAGACGAACTGCTGCGGAGAGACCGCGGGATAGTTCAGCGTAGACTTATGGGCTATACAACGCCCATAGCGATGCGCAGCTGTGATATTATTTATCTGAGTTCGACGATGCGCAACTTTTGAAGCACCTGATGGGCATTGGTTTGTTACCGTGGATGTGGTGAACATGTTCAGCTGCCCGTGCCCCCCCCCCCCCCCCCCTCCACCATGTGTCTGACGTGCCCGAAGTGCGTGCGCCGTCCGGAACCTCCTGCCACACTCAGAGCCATCACCGTAGAGGAGGGAACACATATACCCACCCTCGAAGCACTCCTTGCCCTCGCATTGCCTGATGGATGTCACCGTCGGGGCCTCTAACCAGAGCTCCCGCAGACGTTTCATGCTGAACTTCAGAAACTTGGCGCTCAGCTCGGGAACCTGGAAGACCCTCGGGACGTCGCAACCTGCGTCGTCTAGAAACTCGGGCCCGTCGTCGAGCCGCCCCAGATAGAACAGATCGTCCTTGAACTGCAGGGCCCAGGGGCTTGTTTTGTCCGTAGGGGTCGCCGTTGGGGCACACGCGGAGGCCCGCGCGAACCGCTGAGGCACGGCATTCTCGAAAGAGGCCTTCCCCAAGACAGCGGCTAACTCTTGAACGTGTAGGTGGGGTCGGCGGACGAGTGCTTGATCGTGTCGAAACCTACGCACGCCGATCTCCACGCTGGGGGGCACCGCCTCGATCTTCTCCCAGACGGCTTCCGCGAAGATCGTGGTCACCTTCCACCGCTCTTCCTCTCCGCCCCCGTTCAGCCGCCGATGGGTGGCAATCCCCGGACACAGTGCACTCGCGTAGCGCGCAGCAACAGAATCGGCCTTCCTTGCGTGGTCCCCAGTCAGAACTCGCGCCTCAAGGCCCGGGGCCGCAGCCCCAATCGCCCTGCTCTGAAAGACCAGGCACGTCTGATCAAAGAACGCGCAGACCCGCCAGAACTTGCCCATCCCCCTCGACCCAACACGCATAGCCGCACACCTGGCCTTGGTTCCCTCGTCGTTTCGGCCAGAGGCTTGGGCCCGGGATCCCAGGGGCACCGAGGTCGCCTGATCTTCACCTGAAATTGGACTCTGGCGATAGCGCAGGGCTCGAATGGAACGTTGAGACCCTCGACCAAAGAAGCACGGGCTGAACGTTTATATATATATATAAGCTTAATCATATGTCTATATCTCTAGATATATGGAATCCCCGCCACACGGCTCTGTGCCAGCCCCAGTTGTGCCAGAGCAGCATCAACGCGCCGATCGGAGGTCTCGACCTTCACCACAGCACTGCACGCATCAGGAACAACATACGCACAGGTAAGATCATCGGCCTACGTACGTACCCCAAGGTCGCACATCTTCTGCGCGACGGGGCAGCCTGCCGTCAACCCGTGCACCGTGGAGGTCGGGAACAAGGCCTTCCTCCACTCTTGCGTCGGGTGCCCGAACGCCCCCCTGAACTTCGTCGCCGCGTCGGAGTCGCCCATGAAGCAGCCCGCTTTGTTACAGAAGGCACCGTCGCCATCGTGCGCATTCACCACGCACGCAGAGAGCGTGTGACGAGACATCATGATGTGTGTGTCCGCTGGTGTGTACATATTGGTAACCGTCTGATCCAGGTGCTCATGATCGACACTGGCGAAGGCAGTCGTCGCGTCGTGCTTTGTCGTGCTGTGGCTCAGGTTCGCGGCGCGCAATCGCCGCGGGAGAACGTTGCCAACCGTCAGCGCGCCCACCCGAAATCTGCCATTGACATAGCCGTGTGATCCTTATGTGGTAGCTCCAGATCATCGCATAGCATCCTCGTGCCCACCCCATGCTTTGTCCAAAGCTGCACAGACCATGTAGCAAACGAGCGCCTCATGTTCTCGGCGTATTGTTCATCTTGCTCACCTGAGAGGTCTGCGAGAAATTCCAACAAGCGTTCAGCCTCTGATGTTGACGCACTCCAGCCAGCTGTGTCAGAAAGAACTCTTGTAGGACAGGTCCGGTAACTTGCTTCCGCTCCTCTCCAGACTTCCATTGCTCACGGCGAGACATACGGAGGCACCAGATCTCTGTTGGCATAGACCACTGCGGCAATGCTCGTCGTCTGCGTCCGCTCCAGAACTTATCGATCAGAAGCCGCAGGTCCGTATTCGCCTCGGTCCAATGCTCCATCTCAGGATAGACAGGGTCATCCATCTCAGCTGCCTGCTCGATGAAAGTATCTCGATCCACGCGTGTTGCTTCAAGCCCGCATTCACCTCCCGCGAGTGCCAGATCCTCGGTCCAGGTCTGCAGGTCAGGCTGGGAATCTGGGAGTACGTAGATGTTGCGCTTTCTCGGTCGTAGTCCAGTGACAGCCATCTCGAAACACGCACGCCATGCCACATCGTCTCGATTGTTGCGTCGTGCTGAATCCAGCTGGTCCGTGAGATCAGATTCGCGCTCGAGTCAGAGTCGCGTCCTCGCTTCTTTGCATCGTTGTGTACACTGTTGTAAGTACCAGGCGCTCTCAAGTTCACCATCAAAATTGTCACGTGCTGCTGTACGAGCCAATAGTGCTGCTTCGCGTTCACGTGCCAGGCACAAATACCATTCGGGCCGGTCCGTTCTGCTTGTAGAGTATCGTGCCTGAGCGCACTGTTGGAGAGTAGTAACCAGTTCCATCCAAGAAGACTCAAGAGCGTGTGATCGCATCCAAACCGCTGCCTCGGTGTAGCCATTCGTGGTAAGCTTCACCTCGAGGGCCTGCTCCACTTCGGTTCCGAATTGCTCCGCCTCGTCCTCATTCTTCATGGCCTTGCCGAGTGAGAAGAAATTCCAAGACATACTGCTTTGCCGCGGCGCCGTGAACGTTAGCTGGTAGCCCAGCTCCGCGACGATAGTCACATGGTCCAGGATGGCCACACTCGGGATCACCCGTACTCGTCGTGTGAGGTTGTAGGCAATCGCACACCGCTGAACCCGAACGAGCCACGGCGCCGATATCGCCAAGTGGTCGATGTAGCTCGCGCTCTTGTGCCCATGATAGGCAGGGCCGCACGGGAAGAAGCTTGTCACTGCCGCCATGTTGCTGTCTTCAATCCGTTCACGATAACAGGTGCCCGCCAGATGCTCCAAGATACGCCGAAGGGCCCGATGCTCGTGCTGTCCGTCTCCTGCAGCAGGCCGTCGCATGACTGGATGTCCATTCCGTCATTCAGGTCCGTGGACGCTACGACGGTGCTCCGATTCGGCGTGCCCTCCGTGATGCTCATCAACGTTTCCGTCATCCTGCGCACCGTAGTTTCGTACCGTGGGGTGCCGCGCGCCTCCGTACACCTGGGAGGAAGTAGCTCACGATCAGGGTCAAGTCGAACTGTGAAGATTTCTCTCGTATAGCTCCCAGGCGTCCGTGTAGCGAGCTCTGTATGTTCCAGAAATGTTGAAAATGCGACCGTCGGAAGCGTCGTCGATTGAGCCAAATCTCATCTCCACAGCTTTTGTTCGCAAGATTCCCACGCCCGCCTCCCCAGCCAAACTTCAGCATCATGAAATGCTCGTGATAAAACATCTCGTGGTACGCGGGGTGGTCCTTATTCTTCTGAGCGGTCGTGCCAGAGAGAAGGACGATGTCCGCGAACTCCACCTGTTGTGCGACCTCCAGGCGTCTGTCGTAATCTCAAAGAGACATGGGGTTCCATTGTATTATTTTCATCAGAGTGGCCACGCATTGCAGTGCCGAAAGGAAGCAAAAGGCTGCGAGCGGGAGCGAACGGGCCCTCATGCCCCTGGAACCTCGGGCCAGGGCTTGATGATGAGGACGATGATGATGATCAGCGTCATCAGCATCGTCATCATCAGCACTGTCACCATCCTGAACATCAGCATCATCATCACCATCACCATCATGAACATCATCATCATGAACATGTTCACCATCATAATCATCATCATCGTCGTCATCATCATCGTCATCATCATCAGCATCATCCTTATCGTCATCATAAGCACTGTCACCATCATGAACATCAGCATCATCATCATCATCACCATCACCATCATGAGCATCAGCATCATGAACATGTCCATTATCATCATCATCATCATCATCATCATCACCATCATCATCATCACCATCATCATCATCACCATCACCACACCCATCATTAAGGTGATCCTCTCGTCGGAGATGTGTGCACGAGGAAGGCCGAGGAACAAAAAACAGCACAGACATAAACAGCTGGAGCCCCGCGCGGACCTCCACGGTCGGCGCTGGGCCTCCCTCCCTGGTGCGCAGAGCGCGCCAGGATAGCGGCGCCGGAGACGCCGCCAAGGGGGGCCCCGACCCGATCCCAAAGATGAAGTGGGAAGGCGTTGAAAGTAGACCGGGTGTCCGCCCGCCCCCCAAAGACGACGGACAAGGTGAAGCGAGAAGGCGTTGAAAGTAGATTGGGTGTCCGCCCGTGCCCCAAGGACGACGGACAAGGTGAAGCCACTCGATCCTCTTGAGGTAGGAGGGCGCCTAAAGCAGATTGGGGCCTGCATTTCCCCAAAATACATACTTTCAACGACTGGTGCGCATACCGTGTCTTATTCTTCTCGGCGGCGCGCCGAGAGGGAAAAGGAAGGAGGGTCCCTTCTCTTGGGCGTTGCTTAATGGGGGGGTCACACATGGGGGGGTCAGAAACGGTCCCCTTTCGTGCCCCTGTCGGGCCCCTCCGAGGCCCCAGGGGGCTCGTTTGGGTACCGTTTGGGTACCTTTTCGGACCACCCTCGCCACCCCCCCATTTATGACCCCCCTATTACGCAACGCCCAATTCTCAGAAGGCGGCTGGCCTTCTCGAAGCCCTCCGGCCTTCTGAGAAGCCCTCTGCGCCCTCGGAGGCCGAGACGGTTTCTGAGAAGGCCGATGGCCTCCGCTTGAGCCCCCTGAAGAGAGCCCGCCCCCTGTGCCTTCCCCCCTGGGCGCGCCGCCGATCTTCGAGAGGAAGGCCCGGCCCCCGGAATCGAAGGAGGACGCCCGGATTGAAACGAAAACAGGTCGTCCGAAATCTGAGGACGAGGTGGACCCGGAGATCCGACGACGCGACAAAATTCAGCACACCATGGAAGATCACGACCAGAGCCCCAGACCCCACCCTCCTGGACGCCAACTCCTCGGGCCAGTTCCATTTCTGGTGGGCCAGGGGCCTGAGGCCGAAAGAGCAACGCCAGGATTGAAAGCACCAGATCGTCAGTTGCAACATGGTGAGACATCACAGCCAGAGCCCCAGACCCAATCTGTCTGCGGCATTTTTCCAGCCCGATCGATATGTGAGGGAAGTGAGGGGGTCCGTGACCCTCCACCCATCCCCCCCTCCAGTCCCTCCCCCCCTCGCGCCAGCCCCTCCTCCTCTTACTCCTCCTCACCACCACCATCATCAGCAGCAGCATCATCACAGCTCCCCCATGCCTGGGGACACGAGGTGTCACACGTGACGGCCTCCCGTGACCCATCGAACAGTCGCCGCCCTGAATGCTGGGCTGGCACGGTGGCGGGACTTGCCGCAGGAAGTCGGATCCGCCGCCCCCTGTCGATTCATCGCAGGGGTGCCTGGCGTGCCGAACGATATGGCTTTTGGTTTTGGCTCTTTTTCCAAAAGAACTCCCCCTGGGGCTCCGGCACGTCCCGCCGGCCACCCGTAAACTGCATCAGTCAATGCCTGAAACGGCCGTTTCGCTCGAGACATCCTCAACAAATCGCGAAGATGGCCCAAGATGGCCTCCAAGTCCGCCCAAGAGAGTCCAAGACGGCCCAAGACGGCCCAAGAGGCCTCCCAGAGGCCTCCCAGACGGCCCAAGAGGCCTCCAAGAGGTCCTCCAGGAGAGCCCGAAGAGACCGAAATCATTTATTTTTCTTATGTTTTTGAAGAATTTTGGAATTCGCTTCTTCTCGGCATTCCGACGGCTCAAGACGGCCCAAGAGGCCCCTAAGATCGCCCAAGAGGCCCCCAAGAGGGCCCCATGACGGCCCAAGTGGCCTCCAAGACGGCCCAAGAGGGCCCCAAGATGGCCAAGGAGGCCTCCAACACGCCCAAGATGGCCTCCAAGACGCCCAAGATGGCCTCCAAGACGGCCCCGAAGCGCCCCAAGAGGTCCCCCAGTCGGCCCAGAGGCCTCCCAAACGGCTCCCGACGGCGTCAGACGTGCCAGGAACTCACCAAGATGGCCGAAGTTGGCTCGAAGCTGGCCCAAGACGGCCAAAGAGGCCCCCAAGAGGGCCTCCAGGAAGGCCAGAAAAAGCAAAAAACATCGATTTTCCTAAGGTGTTCGAAGGATTTTGACATTTCCTTCTTTTCGGCCTTCCGACGGCCCGAGACGGCCCAAGAGCCCCCAAAGATCGCCGAAAGATCGCCCAAGAGGCCTCCAAGATGGCCCCAGAACGGCCCAAGAGGGCCCCATGACGGCCCCAAGAGGCCCCCAAGACGGCACAGGAGGCCTTTAAGACGCCCAAGATGGCCTCCAAGACGGCCCTGGAGCAGTCCAAGAGGGCCCCAAGTCGGCCCATAGAGGACCCCCAAACTGCTTCCGACGGCGTCAGACGGGCCAGGAGCCCACCAAGACGGCCGAGCATGGCCCTAAGATGGCCCAAGACGGCCCAAGAGGCCTCCAAGAGGGCCTCCAGGGAGGCCCGAAAAGGCCAAAATCATTGATTTCCCACGAGCTGTTTGAAGGATTGTGGCATTTGCTTGTTTTTCGGCCTTCCGACGGCCCGAGTGCCCCCAAAGATCGCCCAAGAGGCCCAAGACACGGCCCCAAGAGGCCCCCAAGACGGTCAAAGAGGTCTCCAAGACGCTCAAGATGGCCTCCAAGACGGTCCAAGAGCCCTCCAAGACGTCCTCCAAGAAGGCCAAGAATGCCCGAAAGGGACAAAATGGCCTCCAGACGGCCAAGATGGCCTTCAAGATACCCACGTGTTCCCCGAAGGCTTTCCAAACCGATTCGTGGAACACATGGTCCGATGGCTTGGCAGGTCTGGTCTTAACGTTCGGCCACCTAGGCACTTCCAAAAAGGCAGGGGGCGGCGGTGATTCGCCGTAGGCGTCTCCGATCCGCCGCCCCCTTTTGATTTATCAAAGGGGTGCCTGGCGTGCCGAATTATTACGGTTTGGGTTTTGGTTCCTTTTTCCAAAAGAACTCCCATCTGGGGCTTCGTCACGTCCCGCCGTCCACCCTGAGAACCCACCTGTCATCGCCTTTCTTGCCCCAAGATGGCCCAAGATGGCCTCCAAGACGGCCAAGGTGTCCCAGGATGTCCTCCAAGTTGCTCCAAGACCGCCAAGATGGCCTCAACGACGGCTAAGATGGTCCCAAAATGTACCCAAGACTGCCCCAGATGGCCTCAAGACAAGCTAAGACGGCCCAAAAAGCCAGCAAGAGGCCTCCCAAACGGCCCACGAGGCCTCCAAGAGGTCCTCCAGGAAGGGCCGAAGAGGCCAAATTCATGGATCTTCCTTCGGTTTTTGAAGGAGTCTGGGATTAGCTTTTTCTCTGCATTCCGACGGCTCAAGACGGCCCAAGAGGCCCCCAAGATCGCCCCAAGATCGCCCACGAGGTCTCCAAGATGGCCCCATGACGGCCCAGGAGGCCCCAAGACGACCCCAAAAGGGGCCCAAGAGGCCTCCAAGACGGCCAAGATGGCCTCCAAGACAGCCGAAATGGCCCAAAATGGCCTCCAAGATGGTCCAAGATGGCCTCCAAGTCCGCCCAAGAGAGGAGGAGATGCCTCCAAGTCCGCCCAAGAAACCTCCAAGACGGCCCAAGACGGCCCAAGAGGTGCCCAAGAGGCCTCCAAGACGGCCCAGGAGGCCTCCGAGAGGTCCTCCAAGAGGGCCTGAAGAGGCCAAAATCCTTGATTTTCCTATTTGCTCCTTTTCGGCTTTCCAGCGACCCAAGACGCCCCAAGAGGCCCCCAAGATCGCCCCCACAGCGCCCAAGAGGCCTCCAAGATGGCCTCAGGACTGCCCAAGAGGCCCCCAAGACGGCCCCAAGAGGGCACAAAGACGACCCAAGAGGCTTCCAAGACGCCCAAGATGGCCTCTAAGACGGCCCTGGAGCACCCCAAGAGGGCCCCAAGTCGGCCCAGAGAGGCCCCACAAAGGGCTTCCGACGGCGACAGACGGGCCAGGAGCCCACCAAGATGGCCGAAGTTGGCTCGAAGCTGGCCCAAGACGGCCCAAGAGGCCTCCAAGAGGGCCACCAGGAAGGCCAAAGCATTGTTTTTGTTTGTTTTGTTTTATCCTACGGTTTTGAAGGTTGTTAGCATTTGTTTCTTTTCGGCCAACACGGCCCAAGAGCCCCCAAAGATCGCCCAAAGATCGCCCAAGAGGCCTCCAAGATGGCCCCAGAACGGCCCAAGAGGCCCCCAAGACGGCCCAGGAGGCTTGTAAGACGCCCAAGATAGCCTCCAAGACGGCCCTGGAGCAGTCCAAGAGGACCCCAAGTCGGCTCAGAGGGCCCCCCCCCAAAGGCTTCAGACGACGTCGGACGGACCAGGAGCCCACCAAAACGACCGAAGATGGCCCTAAGATGGCCCAAAACGGCCCAAGAGGCTTCCAAGAGGGCCTCCAGGAAGGGCCGAAAAGGTCAAAATCATTGATTCCCCATGAGTTTTTGAAGGATTGTGGCATTTGCTTTTTTTCTGCCTTCCGACGGCCCGAGACGGCCCAAGTGCACCCAAAGATCGCCCAAGAGGCCCACGACGGCCCCAAGAGGCCTCCAAGACGGCCCAAGACCAAGACGCTCAAGATGGCCTCCAAGACGGCCCAAAAGCCCTCCAAGACGTCCTCCAAGAAGGCCCGAAAGGGACAACATGGCCTCCAGGCGGCCAGGATGACCTTCAAGATACCCACGTGTTCCCCGAAGGCTCTCCAAATCGATTCGGGGAACACATGGTCCGATAGCTTGGCAGGTCTGCCCTCAACGTTCGGCCACCTAGGCACTTCCAAAAAGGCAGGGGGCGGCGGTGACTCGCCGTAGGCGTCTTAGATACAGAGCATGGGGAAGCGGAGGTCTGTGGCACCTCCCCCCATCCCACCCCCCCCCACAGGCCCTCCCCCCCGCACCCGCCCGAGCGCGGTGGCAGAATCGCGCGGCAGCGCAACTGGATTGACCCAGAGTGCCTGCCTGAACCTTTTTCCACAGGCTGCTCTGCAGTTAGATTCCAAGTCGCGCGGCTGCTGTAGAGGACTGCTGCAAAGACCTCCCGAAACTCGTGTGATCCGCGTTCAAAACTCGGTGCGCTTCCATAGCACTGCTCAGGTGAGCGACATCTCTGGAGACGGCCTGGCGACCTCTCCCGGGGTGCGCCCTGACCGGCACCCCGAGGCGCATCCGGCCGTGGCCACGCGAGCTCCCCAGAGCGACGACGAGCAACGCCCAGGAAAAGCGAGCGTCGAGCCTCGACCTCGAGGCTGCGATCCTGCGAGCGGAGGGCCGGCCCTGCCCCTTGCGAAGTCATGTGGGATGCACAAAGACATGCTAGCACTCGATGTCCCCGTTGGAGGCGTGCGTCCGGCCCGGACATGGAGCATGAGTGCCCATCTTGTGGTATTTCGTTTCCCGAGCGGTGTGGCCAGGAAGAGCCCGCCACGACGCATACTTGTGCTAGAAGATGTATCGGTGCGCGCGTCGCCCTTGAGGGGGGGGCAACGCACACATAGTATTAGTACGTTGGGGTGGCGCCGATAATGGAGGGCGATAACTGCGGGTGGACCCCCTTTAGGGGCCCTAATGGGCCCCTTTCTGCAGCCTCGCTGCCCCCCCCCCCCCCCCCCCCCCCTTTATCCTCTCCCCATAACCGGGGAGACG